ATTTATCCAATGGGGCTGAATTTTGGATATGTTATAGTACACACCGATTGGAACAAATTTCATGAAGAATGTGGCCTCATTAGAGCTATGTAGGTTGTTGAAACAAAGCTTGCAATATGACCTACGGAACTGGACTGACAGGGGGCTATAGCAAAAATGAGTTTGTCTTTAAGCTCTTCATCCATTCATCCAAATTAGGCCTTAACATGCTTGAATTGCATGAATTATGCTCTCTAAAGCCATCATTATTACCTAAAGCTCAATGAACTGAAAGATAAACACAAAAAGGATTAAAAGCATAAGTTTAACTCAAAAACATAACCAAATCATAAGCTAGAAGGGTACAAAATGATATACAATTATGAACCGATCAGCCCTCTAGACAGTGTTTGTCTAGGATCTTGGTGAATGTGGTTACAGACATATCTACAAATATATATAGCCAAGTCTTAGATTGATTTTTAGATTACTATTGACTTGGGTCTTTAAGTCAAATAGTATCTCCCACTATTTTTGGCAAATTCCACATACCTCAAGATGAAATCTGAGAGTTTCAGTTAAAACTCTTAGTGGGATGGGAGGCTCCCTATTATCTGGATCACCGCACCATAATAGGTCATTGGGATTTCTCATATAGTAAAGAAAGGGCGCGCTTGCCCATTCACATCATGAAGTGATTGCCCATTTCGTTCGACCTCTAGCAAATGTGAACTTCTGAATGTTATTGTGAAGCACCATTGTACTAGTTAATTCTTAGCCCACCATACTTGCTTTGTGTAAAGTTTCAAATATGTCCTCATCTTAATAGAATATCGGTCATACTTGTTATTTACCATTGCAACATCATATGTATGAAATGAACCTCCTTTTAAGTGAGAGTCCTATGTTTTAGGCCCCTCAGAACTGAGTACAAGCCTTTATGCATTGGTCACACTTAATTAGGAGTTTCAGTATGGTGGAAGGCCACACAAAGACATCAAAATGCCTTTTGTTTATTCGACTTAATATTAGCATTTGATTGAGGGAGTTTTAAGGTCTCATTTTTTAATTTTGTTTAAACAATTTAAAATATATTGTCCTAGGATAACTATTACTCCATAAAGCATATCAATAATTACACTATACTCCCACTATTTTGTTTCAAAAACTAAATCAATATCATAAAACGATTTTTATTTTGAAATTGGGATTATGTGTTAGTATTAACGATGTGCTTTGCATTCCTCAAGTATGGTTAAATAGTTGTCTATAGGCTTATGGATGATTATGGACTTATAATTTCAATTCAACATCGAGTCGATGTTGAATCTTGGTCTAAGGTGGGTGATTGATTTTATTACACATCTTAACTACTTTAAAATATTCATGGTTGGTGGGAGTTGAACCCAAGACTAATCTTAGAATCCCTAACTAATCTTCTTTCTCCTTTTGTTTCCTTCTCCAGGCCTCCATCTTCCTATTATATAACTAATTGAAATAGAAAACTCAAAGCCCAATGGGCCTTGAGGAAATTACAATTCAAGGGAGATAGAATTTACATCGGAGAATAAGAGAGGAGCAGAAATACTATAATGAGAAGTTTAGAGTGAGGAGCTTACTTGAGGAGTTCAATCCCACCATCAGCAAATATGAGGAAATCAATGGACTTAAACATTTTAAATAGTTTGATGGTGGGATTGAACCTCTCAAATAAGCTCCTCACTCTGAACTCCTCATTGTAGAAACTCCCAAAGAAGAGAAGCCTACAAGCCTATATTTAATTTACAAACCCAATCGCTAGTTACAACTCAATCATTCAATCATTCAATCAAACTCATTCATCTAATGAATAACGGCTCACATAGCTCAATTTGGTTTTGGGACCTTAAGTCCGTAATCATTCTTAATTCAATTAAATAATAAAGAGAATGCAACATTAAACAATTGAGACTTAGAACATATGGGCCTATTTTAAATGGAACATATAATTCAAATAAGAAATTGGTTGAAGTTTGATGATCAAATTTTGTTTGCCATTGACTGCACTTTTGGGTTTTGTGAAGAGGGAGAACATGTATCTTATAAACATTCATACATTTCACAAGCGAAAATTTACTTATGGAAATGAGAAATGTGATGTGAGATTTCTTTTTTATGTTTGGTAATTTAATGAAAGTAACCATAACATATAATTTTATTTCCTTTATGAGGTTTGGTTTGTAGAAAAATTAAAAACAAAATTTATTTGGTTTTTAAATTATATCCCTAAATTAAAATGTCATTCCATCTAGCAACTCAGGAAAATAGGCTAAAAGCCACGTGTAACTCCGAAACCAGCTGGTTGCAGAGTCGACCAGATCCAAGAATGGCAATCTCCCACCTGATCAAAGCAAAAACTAAATCCTCACTCGGCCAAAGCCGCGACCCCAATAATCAATTATTTAATTAATCTCCAACGGTCGAAAATTTAGTAGAACCCCTCGCCGACCCCACCAACGTTCACCGTCTCTTGTAACGGTCACTTCTTCTTCCACTGTCTCCCCACCTTCTCCTCCAAATCCAAACCCAAAACCCAAAACCCAAAACGTCAACACCTCTCTCTCTCTCTCTCTCTCTCTCTCTCTCTCTCTTGCAGTGTACAGCTCCCTTTGTTTCTGGGTCTTTGTCTGTGTCACTCTGTGTGTGATATGGAACCAGCAAAAATTGATTGGAAAAACGTAGAATGGAAATTTGTAGAGGATAAAGCCTATGAGCAAATAAACGCACCCAAGTGGTTCGATTTCTTGAACCCAGATCAAAACTCTGTGGACGACCAGGCCTGGTTCTGCAGACCCGGTAGCTTAAATCATTACAAATTTACTTCAATTCTTCTTCTTTTTTTATACTAATTTTTATTGACCATTATTTTCTTGTTGCAGAATGCAAGCATCCAAAGACGGCTGAAGATTTTCTCAAATCATCACCTCCCAAGGTTCTTACTTTTACTGCCTTTCTTTCTTTTTGGTTGGTTTTATTATGAGGGTTTTGCTTTCTCGTTTTGTTGGTACTCTGTTTGGTTGCTAAGAAATTGTGAGGAAAAAGAAAAATCAAGATTTTGATTCTTTGGCATACGTTTCTATGGGCCTAGGAAACACAAATCCAGTTTCACTTTGCAGTTCCAACCACAGCATAAGATCGAATTTTCATTTTCCTCACATTTCATTTCAGAGCTACCAAGCAGAGGTTTTGTATAATTTCTTTTTTTTAAAATTTCTTTCTGAAGTTTCCCAATTTCTTTGTTTGTTGATTTCCAGAAGGTTTCAAGCCCAGCTGTTGTTTCTGAAGTTCCCCCACTTGGTGATAAAATCCAGAGGTAACAAGAAAATCCCATGAACCCTTGTATTTCACAGTACAACATAATTCAACTTTCACAGAACTTAACTTATTTTCTTTTCTAATTTAGAGATGTGAAATTGAAGAGAAGAGGGTTCACTCAGTCTTCAATTTACCCGACTAATAATTCTAGAGTCAAGGAAGACAGCGAAAATCAGAACCCCAACCTATCAACTCCTCCAATTAACCAAGCTAAGTCCATGAAGGCAACAATCAAATCTAGCGCAGAGAAGACACAGCCAATTGAAAGGGCACCACAGAACAGTGAGGTTCTTCCGAGGCTGAGAAGCACGCTGTCAGCGAGGAATTTATTTGCAGGGCGAGATATTCTGAATCAGATTACAGACTTCTGCAGCGAATTGAAGAGAATGGCGATGAGAGCAAGGGAAAGAGAGGATGTGGAGAGGTTGGATGTGAGGAAAAGCCTAGGGGTTTTGAAGGAAGAGGTGGTGAAGAAGGAGGAGTGTAATGGTGAGGTTTTGGGTGAGTTGAATGGCAGGAAAACAGAGAGAGTGCCATTGCTTGAGGTGGGTAAAGGAAAAACTCAGAGGCAAACAGAGAGAATGCCATTTCTTGAGGTTGGTAGAGGGAAAACTCAGAGGCAAACAGAGAACATGCCATTGCTTGAGGTGAAAACTGAAGGAATGGAGGGGACCATTATCAAGGAGAAGCAGAGGAGGAACAAGTAAGTTTATTCTTCCTCTATTTTCTGTCTTTAATGTACATGCATTTGTTTATGATGCACGTCTCTATATTTATGTGTCTATGTCTCTGTATATGCGTATATGCAAGTATGCGAATATGGTCACTTTCAGTTGTGATGGTAGAAACAGTTGAGGCAGTTGATATATGATCACCTGATATGATTGATATGGTTGATATGGTGGCAAGAAATGCTTTTAAAATGCTGAAACACCTAGGTTAAGACCATCTAATTTCAAGTAATTGATTGCTACGAGCAGGCCATGACATTGATGCAAAATGGAAGGATTTTCTTGCACTAAATTTTAGGGCATGATACTTTATTTATGAATAGGCGTCTCAGTCTGTCAGTTTACCCCTTGCGATATGGCTAATTGTACTTTGTTATACAATTCATTTATGCTAATAGAGATGCACAAGGATTCTTCTTGTTACAACTTCTAGGCTGGAAGTTGACAAGTTGGCTGGTTATATGACGAGAACTGTCAGACTGATATGCAAAGATAACAATCCAATTACTGTACAAACTTGCTGGTAGTCATTGTATGATTAAACTTTCTGATGACATTGATCTTTCTAGGTATCCTTGAATGCCATTGATATATGTTTTTTCCTAAACTTGCTCATTTGATGGTTGAAAGTATTGTTAACTTTTGATGACCACATCATGCAGAAGAATTGACGAAACAGAGAACATCCCAATCTCTCTGAATTTGGAGAATGTAAAGCGCAAAGGAGGGGAGAGCTTGCTGCAAATCCGAACCAACCCTCCCTCTCCTCAATGCTTTTCTGCCCCGAGGCCCCCCAGCAAACTGACACCTTCACAAGCTTCCAAGTCCAAGCTGATGGTATGTAGTCCTTCTACTTCTTCATATTATATTATTTTTGTTTTACCAAGATCAGTGGCATGAAGAATTAAACTATGGTTCTGATTCTTGCTCTAACAATGATTTACAAAAGTTGGGGTGGGGAAGGAAATATGAGGACTGAAAATTTACATCTAAGGGTTGTAAGTTAGTTGATGACAATCTCTTTTTATGGCCACAACAAAATGCTAAATGAGCCGGTGAAGAAATAAAATAGCACCCATATATATTTATTACCCCAACAAAACCTGAATAAAGCTAGTCCAAGTAATGTAAGCTTGCCCTTTGATCTAGTCAAGCCAATCTCTAACATGGACTGAGATATCCGTGTCTTCTTTTCTGCAAAAGCTTGGAAACTGATTATTGAATGCGCACCATTTCTACTTTATAGCTTTGTGTTAATCAAAACCCTAGCTCTTTTTAGCCTAGCTATCTTAGTTGAAATGATGAAACTAAAATTTCAATCATGGACACTGGAACACATAAATCAATCTCGTCATCACCTGTTCTGCATCCTTCCTTCTTTAAAGCTCAGAAGATCCTC